GAAAGTATTGTTATATATCTTGAGATTTTTGACAATATTTTTTCAAAAAGTTTTAACGTTATCAGCCATGACACAGCATTTTAACTTCAGTCACTTTCCTGCTGCCATAATATGGATTCCCTCTGTCTTTTTTATAGCAGTTGTTCTAATGAACACTCCTCTTTGATCCCTCAACTACATGAATTTAAGCAAACTACTAGATTCACAATTGGGTCTCATTTCACTGTTGCACTAATTAGATATAAACTTAAGTTCTATTCTAATAGTTTCTTTTCTCACACTTCTTGCCTGTGAAATTCTCTTCCGGTTTTTTTAGATCCCTGCCACCTACAATCTTCAAGAATTTAAATGCAATGTCAATTGCTATCTTCTGTCTTCCTGAAACCTGTTCTTTTATCACCCTTTCTCCACACTAAAGTTTTCTCATTTGCTTTCACTCCCAATAACCATTAGCATTTTAGTAGGATTATCACCTTGCTTGAGATGAAAGGATTATGAAAAAAAAAAGCTTAAAAACTTAGAAACTCATTTTTTCAGAAGGATTCCATTATCCGTGACTTCAAAGGAACTGTCTTCAATTCTCTATTCACTTTCACCTACGTGCTCAAACCAAGGATAATGGACACCTCTTTCTTTATCTCTCTCTGTATGTTAACCTACTCATTATATTTCATGCATACATAGAGACTTACATTTTAAACTAAGCAGAGCAGATATGGCTTTTATGAAAATCTGAATGAGTGAATGTGCTTTAAAAGCAAATTGCTTGATTGTGAAGCTCATCATAACCAAGGGATCAAAGCAAGCTGGTATACAAAATAAAATTGCATTTAAAATAAATGTAATGTCTACTCAAATACAGGTATCTATTATAAATAATGTCTGAATTAATAATATATATATATATATATATATATATATATAGACTACAGTTCAAAAGCTTGAAGAAATCCCCAGAATTAGCATTGAATGAACTTGACAGAAGAGTGAAAAAAAATTTAATCATAAAATGCTTTTTTTTCTTTTTGTCATAATAAAAATTCTAATAAAATATCATATCTCACTTTTTTTAACTATGTATAATAATTTTCTCTTATTTAAAGTACAAAAAAACTATGTTTGAGGCCAATTTAAAAAATTACCAGGAGTTGCCTCAAACTTTTAAACTGTAATGTATATATATATATATATATATATATATATATATATATATAATTATCATTATTATTCTGTTTAATACATGCATGTATTGAATTAATTCATTTTGAAATGGTTGAAATTTTCTATCGAATCTTGTTTGGAGACTCAGTTAATTTAAACAGGCCTTCAAATAATTATTATCATTGACTTTTCTTGAAAGTGGTGACTCCATAAAACAAATATTTTTCATTTATTCATTTTTTCCTTTAATATAATAAATTATAGTAAATTATATATTCTTTATCATCTAATTTATCTTACATAAATTATATTTTTTTTTTACAGTGAGGTTCACCCTGTACAAGGTCTATACATGATAGAGGGTTACAATAAGAGACAGTTTATGTGAATAAGAGAGGAAGATAATAGTTAACACTTGAAAAGGTTAAGATTGTAGTGATTGGGTAAACATTCTTTTGGGAGTTTGTTCCACGGAGCAGTGGTCTGTCAGGAGAAGCTGTTCTGAATGGAACTTACTTCTCACTGCTTGAATACAGAGGAAATGTAGGTGGTTCATTAAAATGTGAGTGGATCCATAAAGGTTACACCTGGCAGAACCAAGGAATGTAGTTCATCTGAGCACTTTCCATGGAAGTAGTGATAGAGCAGTGAGAGAGACTTGCCACATCCCACCTGTGAGAGAGAAAGGTTGAAGGGTGAAAATGATTTGTTGCCCATGAGGACTTTTGAACTCTATGGAGAGTAGAAAGTGAGGACTGGTTAGCTCCCACTCAAATATGACAACAGTACTCCATTTTCAGCCTTATCTTATAAGGTAGAGTATAGCAAAAGGAGTCAAGTATTTACCAAAGTGGTACAAGGAACGGAACATTTTTTTCTACTTCTTTAGCAATGAATCGTACGTACAAGTTCCACTTGAGGTCAAGAGTGAGTTTTAAGGCATGTCTTCTTACCAGACTTATTCAATCTATACAGTGAGGCAATTCTGAAAGAACAAGAAGTCCTACAAGGATTCATTATTGGTGATCACAATCTTAACAACATAAGGTATGCAGATGGCATAATGTTGATAGCAGACACAGAAAGAAAGCTACGAATACTCCTACAGGAGGTATTGAAGGAAAGTGGGAAGAAAGGATTAAACATCAACTGTAAGATAAAATGCATGGTTGTTAACAAAAGAATGAGACCAGAGGATGGAAAAGTGACACTGAAATCCAAAGACATATTGGGATAGCCAAGGAAGCATTCCAAAGGGTAAGCAGCATATGAAGAAGTAGGAAGATTTTGCTAGAAACAAGGAAAAGAGTACCAAACTGCTATATGGTATCTTTTCTCCTGTATGGCAGTGAGTGCTAGACAATCTCCTCAAAAATGAAGAAGAGACTTGAAGCAACAGAAATGTGATTTTATAGAAGGATGCTGAGGACAGAACACGTGAGCAGCAACAAAATTTTGGAGAAAATGGAAACAAAAAGCAAACTAATACAGGAAAAGATAGTTGAGGTTTGTGGGGCACATAATGAGGAAGGAGGGCTTGGAAAATCTGATACTCATGGGGAAGATAAAGGGACAGAGGAAAACAATGCATAACATAGTGACCTTCAATAAATGGATGGTGGAATAGGGTTTAGAAGAAATAACAGAAAGACAAAGTTTTATTAAGAGCTACAAGGGACAGGAAGTTGTGAAGAGTCATGATCGCCTACATCCTGAGGAGACATGACACATAAAGAAGAAGACTCTCAAGGCATGAAACCTCCCTAAGGGAAAATTATATCTTTCTTTTTTCCACACTATTTCATTTTTCAGCATTTTCTGTGGCTAGGCGTCAGGCTGTCTCCAAAATAACGAAAATGGTACAAAGGAACTATAAATAAATTGATTGATTAATTGATAAAATACTAATTTAATTTATCAAATGAAAAATGCATCAAAGTTCTGATAAGTTTAAATTCTTTCTTTCTTTTTTCTTTCTATCATTCTCTTTTTTGCATGCCACTCTCCTTTTTCTTTTTACTCTTTCTCTCACACATCTTCCTCTCCTTCCATTATCACATATGGATATCCCTTCTTTCTCACATCCTACCTTTCTCACTTTCATCCCTCCTTCCTCCACTGTTCTTTCTCCTTTTCTCTTCTTTTACTCTCCCTCCTTCCCTATCTCATACTCATTCTCACTTCTCCTCTTTATTTCTTTTCCCTTTCTTCTCTTTCACTCCTGTTCCTCATTTCTCTTTCTTCCTTCTCTTTACTTTCTTTATCTCTTACTTTTTTTTCTTACCTTATTCCTCTTGCTCTTATTTTCACTTTTCTTTAATTTTCTTTTTGTTTCTATTATACTTCTCTCATTCTCCTTGATTCTTCTTCTCTTTTCTCTCTATATTCTCTTCCTCCTTTTCCTATCTCTCTCACTCTTCTTCCTCCTATCACCCTCTCCACCCTATCATTCTGTCTTTTTAATCTCTTTCTTTCCTTTCATTTTTATTCTATCACATTCTTTTTCCTGTCTCATTCTTTCTTTCTTTCTTTCTTTCTTTCTTTCTTTCTTTCTTTCTTTCTTCTTCCTACCCTTTTTCCTTTAATTCTTCTTTCTCTTTTCCTTTTTTCTTCCCTCTCACATTTTCTCATTCTTTTTCCCTCTCTCACTCTTTTTTTCTTTTTTCTTTCTTTCTCATTTGTCTTCCCACCTTTTCTTCTTCTAATTCATCTTTCTCTCTCTCTCTTTTCCTTTTTTCTTATCTCTCCCATTTTCATGTTCTTTTCCCTCTCTCACTCTTTTCTTCCTTTCCCTCTCTTTCATTCCTCTTCCTTTCCTAACTACCAACTCATTTTCCGTATGACTACTTTCTGTCAATCAATCAGACATCCCATGTAAACAAAGGCGGATCAAACAATTTGGAACATTACCCAAAAATAATCTTTTGGCTATTTTCTTTCGACTCCATAACCATATCCCCACCACCCCCTGTGTTCCGACTGCCTCTCCTAACCATCATCATCTTTATCATCACTAGCAGGAATTTTTTCACACTCAACTAAATATGCTAAGTTCATCTATTAGATTAACCCTGTTTGTACAACAAAAAAAATATCTATTTTTGTCATAAGCTTCATTATAGTAACACTTAAAAATAATGTTAAAACAGAGATAATAATATATTTCTGAAAAAAATGTATTTCTAAAGTATAATATTTCAGATATAAACAAGTCATATAATTAATCTATGATCTGATTCCTGTATGTTTGTGTATCAGTTGACATAACACATCAAAAAACAGCACATTGTAGTGGGATATTTGTTAGCACAATGCATGTTAAAATGTTCTTAGAGAATCAAGTAGTAAGACTAGATTTAACATGTGTCAGAGCTAAAAGCTAAGAAAAAGCATAACATATTTAGTGATCTTATGTAAATGGATGGCAGAATGGGGCTTAGAATAAATATCAAAGACAAAGTTTTATTAAGAGTTACAAGAGGTTGTGGGGAGTCATGATTGCCTACATCCTGAGGGGACATGGCACATAAAGAAGAAGACTGTCAAGGCATGAAACTAGAAGTCCTACCAGGTATCTGAACTGAAAGGTTAAACAAATTATTTGATTTGGCTGATTCATTTTTTACGGCTTATCAACCTTTTGCTAGTTATTTTTAGACTGTAAGAACGTTTTTTAGATAATAATGATTTAGTGATACAAATAGTACTAATTAACCCATAGCTGGGGGAGAAGAGGTATTTGCACTTAAGCGAATATAATGAACCCAAATGGAATTGGAACTTGATTTTCCAAATAACAATTCTGAGTCATTATCTATTACACCACCTGCACATCCAAACTTACAGCACCTGGTATTCCGAAGTAGTCACCCATCTAGGTACTGACCAAGCTTGATGTTGCTTAATTTTGGTGATCTTATGAGAATTGGTGTTTCAGTGTGATGACTTAAACATAATATTATGTGTCAGAGTTGGTTGGTTGATTTTGTTTAGCAGCATATCAACCTCTATGGGTTATTCAATACTGAACTTTAAATATTTTGAGCACAATTTTATGGCTTCAATTAAATATATTTTGAACACAAATGTATGCTTTCAACTACAGATAAAATGTATTACTGGTATTTTTACTATAAAATACATTTTTATATTTTCATAGTGTTTTGTTTTTGTTTGAGGGTTCACTATTTGACCATAGCCAGGACCATAACAGCTGTTACCACCCTGGGTGGACCCAGGAACAACAGCAATTAAGAGGTGTCAGAATTAAAATGTTAGATACATCATGTGTCAGTTGTAAATGATTAGACTGTTCATGTTTTAGAGATAAAAGGTTAGACATGTCATAAGCTAAAAGGTTAGACATCATCTGTGGCAAAATGCTAGACCCATGTGTCATAGCTAAAAGGTTAGACATCATCTGTGGCAAAATGCTAGACCCATGTGTCATAGCTAAAAGGTTAGACATCATCTGTGGCAAAATGCTAGACCCATCATACATCCTCACAAAAATGTTCAACACATCATGTGTCATAACTAAAAGGTTAGACATATGTGTTTGAGTAAAAAGGGTTAGACATCATGTATCAGAGCTAAAACAAAAGCAGGCTAATCATGTCTTAGAGTTAAAAGGTTAGACATGTCATATGTATAAGGGAAATCACCAGAGTTATCATATATAATGGATTAGACATGTTATGTGAAGAGCTAAAATTAGTTATATTTTGCCACAATGTATCTCTGCTCAGTTGATTACAATACACTTAGACTGTAAATGATTTTATCTGGGCCTTTTGCAACTGTTTTTATGGCAAACAATAGCAAACTTGAGGGATGAGAGCTTCAAAGTGACCACACACAGTCCACAAATAGAGGAAAAGAAATAAATTGTGTAAATAAACAAATTAATTTTTTGGATCAAGTGATACTCAATTGGAAGTCAGGAAATTCCCATCATAGTTTTATATATTATGTTAGAGTCAGTAAGCGTTGCAGTTAGTTGACCAGGGTCACAGTGAGGAAAGAGGAGCTGTCACTGCTTGTAGAGTCATAGAGAAATGGAGTTCTCCCTAGCTGAAAAGAAGATCCTATTCATTTGTCTCTAGTGAAAGAAGATAGAAGTAACAGTAAAAGTGTCCAAAGTGCCTCTTTACCTGTTGTCAGACTATCAGGCGAATCCATGAATAAAGAACCTTGTTTATCAAAACCAACAGTCTTGTTTTTTTTTTGTACTGAAGCAGTATCTTGAGATGGTCATATTTGATACTCCCCCCCCCCCATGTGAAATCTTGCCTGCGAAAAGAAGGATCTGTAATGTAATCGATCCTGACCAGGCATCTGGACTTCAGTCATTTTCTCTATGATCTGGCTTCCCTCTGTCTTTTTTTTCATGGCTACTGTTCTGATGAGCTTTTTTCCCTGGTACCCTGACTACGTGAATTTAACCAAGATACTAGATTGGCAACTAGGTGCCACCATTTCTTTTTTCTGTACTGAGGCGATATCTCGAGATGGCCATATTTGAGACTTTCCCCCATGTGATATCTTGCCTTCAAAAAGAAGGTCCTGTATTGTAATTGATCCTGACTCGGCATCTCAATTTCAGTCACTTTCTCAGTGATGTACCTTCCCTCTGTCTTTTCCACAAATATTTTCATGGCAACTGCTCTGATGAGTTTTTTCCCAGGTGCCCTGACTACATGAATTTAACCAAGATACTAGATTGGCAACTAGGTCCCACCCATTCACTGTTGAAAATATTAGATGCAACTGCCATGTTTCTTTTCTTGCACTTTCCACCTGTGGAACTCCATTTCAATTTCTTGTTCCTCTGATTACAATGTTCAAAAATTTCAATTTCAATGTCAATCGTCATCTTCTGTCTTTCTCAATCCTATTCCTATATTGGCCTTTCCTCAATCCTTTCCATTATCAGTCTTGCCATTCCCCTTCACTCCCTGTAATCACCTGTGTTCTAGTGGCATTATCACCTTGCTTGGAGTGAAATGACTAAAAGAAGTTTCTTTGTTGAACATACACCAGACCTTTCACAGTTTAGTTCCCACTGGCTAAGTCTGGAATCAAATTACAGTATGAGGCAGAAGTTGACTAGTCAGTGAGAAACTGTCTAATAGACCCGTATGTACATTCACAATATCAGGCATCTAAGCTAAAAGTTTAGGTTTATTATGTACCTGAGTAAATGCTTCAGCATCTCATCTATCAGAGCTGGAAGTTTAGACTTAGCATGTGTTAGTAGTAAAATATTGAAATTTCATATGTCTGTGGCATAAAAGTAGACTTTTCATGTGTTAGAGCTGAAAAGTTAGATATGCTATGTGTCAGAGTTAGATTTATCAAAGGTGAAAGGTTAGGTATATCATCTATCAAAATTAATATGTTGAACATATATGTCAGTTCTACAAGTTTAGACATACCATGTACCAAAGTGAAATGTTACACTTATAATTCTGAGATAAAAGTTTAGATATACTATGTGTTAAATCTAAAATGTTAGTCTTATCATTTCTCTCAGTTAAAAAATTAAACAAATTTGATGTTAGGCCAAAGATTCAACATAACATGTTTTAAAGCTTGCAATGTTAACATGACATAAAGAAACCCACAGCTATCCTTGTGGTCACCAAACCACTGACTGATTTGTTTTCTTACTGTTTATCAACTTTTTGAAGGTTATTTAAAGCCAGAAAATATTTTTAGATTGCAAGATTTTTTTTGGGGGGGGGGAGATAATAATGACTTACTGATAGAAGTAATTAATCCATAGCTGGGGAGAAGAAGTGGATTCATGCCTTTCCCAAAGTTATTTATGCACAAGTGAATATAACAAACCTGACTGGAATTGAAACTCAGTTCTCCAATTTCCAATTCCATCCTCTTATCCATTACAGCATTAAAGCACCTGTTATTATGAAGTGATCACTCATCTAGATACTGACCAAGGTCAATGTTGCTTAACTTGATCATAAGAGAACTGGTGTTTCATTGTGATATAGCCATAAACCCATCTGTATCTGAGTTTGAGATGTTCACACACATTGCAATAAGTGTAGTAAAAGAGACTACTGCAAGCAGCCATCATGAAACACATGTGTTCTTTTGTTTAATTAGAACCATTTAAAAGGGTTCAGATTGTCAGCCTGTGAGATGCTGGATGTTCCTTTCTTGGACATTGGACATGATGTGTTCGTGATGCTTTCAGGCTGACAGTTGGAATCAAATGAAAATTCCTATATTCGTAAACCAGTAGAATGCCCAGTCTAGTACCGTGGTTCCCAACGTGGAGCACAGATAAAATTTTATTGGAATAAATGGAATAAATGTTTCATAAAATGTTTCATAAAATTTCAGCCTGTCATATATTTTGTTTTCATTCTGTATTGTTTTGTGCTAGATATATACAAAACACACCATTGATGGTGAACAATTTGTATTATTTACCTAACCTCACTTGTAAAGCAGGATTTGATATAAGGTCTTTTTATGGTGTGGGTATATACATTCATATACATATAAGCCAAAAACAAAAATGCATTATTTACCTAACCTCACTTCTAAAGTAGGATTTGGCACAAGGACTTTTTATGGTGTGGGTATATACATACATATACATATGGGCCAAAAACAAAAATTTCCCAGTACTTGCAACCTCTGTTATGTTGATGTCGGTGTTACACTGACTCCACTTCTCTTAGTGCAATGGGGATGGTGCTGCTGTAAGTTTGGAATCCCTGGGACCAGTGACTTCTCTTAACTCGAATGAGGATAAAACATGATACTATGTATTGAGCCTAGGCAAATGGCCAAGAAGCAACAATTTCTAGGACAATTGCCATCAAAGTTTGAAAGAATAAAATAGTAGAAAAGTAACTTCAATCACAACCTTCCACAACTTCATTTGGTTGTAAATTTTGTCTTTTTGCTATCTCTTATAATCCCTGTCCTGACAACCAATTACACAAGCTCATTAGGTAATTTATTCATTGCTTTCTTCTGTCTCTCTTGCCTTTACTATGCCCTGTGAATATCAAATTTTCTAAACCCTCTTTCTTAATTATGTGCCCTAGTAATTTCAACTCTCTCTTTCTGACAATAAGTGTAAACATCTTTTTTGTTTTCATTTTCCCCATAATTTTTGTCATGTTCATTCCATGGTATTCTCAGTATCCTTCTGTAGAACCACATTTTTCTTGCCTCAAGTCTCTTCTTCATCTGTAATGAGATTTCCAGTATTCACTGACATATAAACCAACCAATACTGCATAACATTTCAGTACTCTTTTCTTTGTTTCTATTGAAATTTTCTTATTCCTTAATACCTTGCTTAGCTTTTGGAAGACATCTCTCACTATCCCAGTGACCCTTTGGATTTCGGTATTGCATTTCCATCCTTTGTTAAAACACTTCCAAGATATTTAAATTTTCATACTTACTTGAGCTTCGTGTCTCCAATTTGTTGTTCCCATCTTGAGTCGGTTCCTTTAACAAATCATTCATGTTTAGCACTGCTATATAAATTGAGGTCAACACACTCAGTTGATAAGAATTCAGTCAGTAGGCATGGATGGAGTCATGAGAGTTCAATCATAGGTCAGTCAGTGTGCTGGATTAGAATGTGGTGACAAATATGTTTGATGACAAATATGTTTTTCCCACCCTTCAATCACATGCAAATAGTAAATTGTTACCAGCAAAGAAAGAGAAATCTGGGAGGTGAGTTCAAGTTCCAGGTGAGGGTCTTTCATTTACTAATGATCTTTGGTGAAGACATCAATCAGTTTCTTCAATCACCCCCACGGCTAAGGGTTAAATAACAGAGTAGACTGATCTCTCTAGTCTTGGGTAGCAACCAATCTAAGAGAAGGAAATTCTGAATTTCAAATCGTAAAGAAAACAATGTAGAACTATTTCGTTCTCA